CGCGTCTACTGGAGACACCCGTGCCCTGCAGAAAGCTCCACCAAAAGTTGCTGCTGACGGCTTTGTTGCCACCCACTGACTGGCAGTAGCTTTTCAACGCCCAGCACTCCCTGCACTGCCAGGGCACCTGTCTCCTGCCTCCCCTGGGCAGATGATGAGGCTGAGCAGCTCCAAAGGCTGGTCGGGAGCAGAGTGCCCCAAAAGTGTCCCTGCGGCGAAGCAACGCTCAGGGCTTGGGCAGGGAGACCCAAACAGGCAGCAATTTTGAACATGTGGTTGTTTTGTGACTGCTGATGCAGGAGAAGCATCCACAGAAGCTCCTCGACTGTCAGGACTTTGTCAGATTTTCAAACAAACTTGCAGCCTTCCAGTACCTAAAGGGGGTGGACAGGAAGGCTGGGGAGGGACTTTTTACAAGGGCGTGTAGTGACAGGACACGGGGCAATGGATTTAAACTGAAAGAGGGGAGATTTCGATTGGATATAAGAAAGAAATTTTTCACTCAGAGGGTGGTGAGGCACTGGCACAGGTTGCCCAGAGAAGTTGTGGCTGCCCCATCCCTGGAAGGGTTCAAGGCCAGGTTGGATGAGGCTTTGAGCAACCTGGTGTAGCAGAAGATGTCCGTGCCCATGGCAGGGGGGGATGGAACTGGATGATCTTTGAGGTCCCTTCCCACCCAAACCATTCTGTGATTCTATGACATTCGTGTCAGGGAGCTGACACCTAAGCCCGGGTTTGAGAGGAATCTGCTGCCTTTCACTGCCTCCACACGCATCTCACACCACAGCACACCACTCACAAAAGCATTCCGCAGCCAGGGAAGGCCACGCAGAAGCAACATGCCACATGGAGAACGACCCCAGCAATCCTAAGAACCATGGAAGATGAGGGACAAAGACACACATCTGCTTATCAGACCACACACGTTCAAACACCATTAATGGGAGACAAAAACCAGGTGCATTGCCAGGGCTGTGCTGGTCTAAGTGGAAACCTGAAGTATCTAAAGTTACCCTCACCCAGAAAGAGGGGAAACGGGTTTACAGGGACAGCAGCAGAGAACTTTTTAAAAAGAAACAACAAAGAAACAAATCCCACTCATAGCAGCAGGCAAGCAGCCCACGCTACCGAGAACAAGACCTCTGGAGAACAAGATTAGGAACCAGGGCTGATTTCCTCACAAAACATGTTTCTGAGGGGCTTTGCTCCGTCAGCCATTGCCCAGACTCACCTCCTCGCGGAGTTCCTTCATTCTCTCCTCAAAGTCATAGTCCTTCTGCTTCTCCTCCATCTTCTTCTTGTTCACCTCAAAGCGTTTCTTTACCTGGTCCAGCGTCGAGCGCTCCACTCGCATGGACATGCCCAGATTTCTCTGGTCTAGAAAACAGGAGTGGCATCAGCTGTGTTCAGCAACACTCCCAGCCTTTGAAGACCTGTCCCCAGTCCCAAGGGCAATACCTCTTCCTACCTGTCACGCAACCCTCAAAGCAGCTTCCAGGGCCAGACTACACTCATGCACAAGGCTGCACGCTCTCCAGGCTGAGCTCCAACCTGACCGAACTCCCAACCCACCCACCACTCGAAGTGCAGGGACCAGCATCATCCCCCACGTGCCCGAGCAGCAAAGCCTGGCACGTCCCAGCCTCCAGGGACTCCTCCCCACACCACGTCTCACCACGGGCATTCGGGTAACCCAGACCCCGCTTGGGGAGTGCGACACAGCAGTGCCTCCTCCCACAGGGAGACACGTGCGTTCTGTGCTCATCCGGTCCCATATTCCTACGCAAACTGGGACTTCGTGTATCAGAGGGGATGGGCTTTTGAGGGACACCATAACCTACACCAGTATGATCTGTACGTTACTTGCAACAGGAAGGAGGATGCGGCCTATTCTTTTTAGGTTCCCTATTAGGATGCTCCCCATCACGTTGGTGTTCTGGAAATTTAATCTTGGACCAGTGGGGAAAAAAAGGGGCTGGAGTGTTGAAAAAGGGGCTAGAATAAAACTGGTAGGATGGCATCTCTCAGCAGTGGGAGAAGCTAAACAAGACATCAGTGCCTCTCAGTAAGAGATCCTGACCACCCAGGACATTTCTAGCTAAAGCAGAGACAGGAAATGTTAAGCTGGGTCTCTGATTCAGCGGCAGTTTGGAGCAGATTCCCAGGTTTCGGCTCATGAGTAAGCCTAGGGTGAAAGGGCTGTCCCTGGAGATGTCTCCAACCTGCACTGGCTGGTGGATCCAAACAGCCCGTTACCTCCAGCAGCTGCGCACAGGTTCGTCTCAGGATGCAGCAGCACTTGGAAGCTCAAACTACGCAGCAGGCTTCGGCCGGATTTACGGGCTGGATCAAAAGCTCCCAACTCACGCTGTAAATTCGGTACAGAACTACTCTGCATCGGCCACTCGCCAAGCCCGGCTCAAGCCTTCGCCTCGGGCCCATGCACAAAGTCATGCCAGGATTTTTGGTTCCAGATTCTCTCCTAGGGACTTATTGCTAATTTCCCAAGATGTCAAACAAAGCGCTTCGGCGTCCTCCTCCCGCTCCCCTAAAAGCAGAGGGCTTTAACACGCTGGGTTCTGTTTCCCCAGCTACAGAAAACGTGCCCTCATGTCC